GAGAATTTTCTAGAGTTTGTACCCTCAATTAGTATTCAATTTAAAACAATTCCTAAAAGTTGGAGAGAACTGCCACTTTAAAATAGCCTCCCCTTTTCCCCAAATGGGGAAGAGACTAAAGTCTATATTGTTACATTTTAGAATAAGTATTTACTTTTTTTTGTTTTGTTTTTGGTAGAAAAGTTAGGAAGGTATCAACTTTTATGATATATAAGTAATATTTTGAACTGGGCATGTAGCTTCATTTTTTTTTTTTTAATTTCATTTGCAAGTTTATGTTCAGTCATAAAACATCCCCTACATTGGTTTGAAAATGACAGTCATTTGTGTTTATTATTTCAACTGGAAGGATTTTAATGAAGAGAATAGCAGACTGCCTTGCACTGTTCCTCCAGTGTCCACAGCTACAAGCCTCTTTTGCATGCTCAGCATGACTCCTAGATATAGCAGATAGCAGATGTAATTTACTGGGAGCATTCCTGAACTCTTCTTTCTGCTCCTCCTCTAAGCCCTCTCATAGGAGAATTTATTCCTTCTCAACGAAGAACTTACAATAAAGGGTAAGAGCAATAATGAATGTTAAGGGGACTTTAGAATAAATAGTTTAATCAGAGTACACTAGACTTGATACCAGTGTCGGCAGAAATAAAACGGGGAAGAGGGCGGTGACTGGTGGTTGTTCACGTGGTTTTAAAATCTCCATCAGCATGCTCAGCTCTGGCCCTCTATCTGTGAAGGGAAAGAAAATAAACTCCAATGCTGAAGAACACTCACTGTCTAGAGCTAAAAAGGGCTTTCTGGTTAGTGATAAAGTGAGGGTTTACTTAGACAACTTACTGAAAGAAAACTCCCAAGGGTGTTGTTGTTTTTCTTCAGTGTTAACAAGAAGGGGAAATTCTGGCCTGTGAGGACTGCCTGTAAGACTGTTCTAAAAACTGAACACCCTGAATGAGGTTTAGCCAAATTGAAATGAAACTAATTTATTTTTCATTTTCTGAGGCTTTGCAAGGAGTTGGAGTGTAGTTAGTATTAACTTTCTTGGGGGTGGGTGTGGAGGTGGTTAAAAGCAGCTTTCTTTTGCTATTAAGTTCTGCTTATGATTCTAATTTTATAGCACAAATAATATCAGGGACTGATAATATTTTTTACTATTATTATTTTTTTGTAAACTGTCTTTAGCTTTGGTTTAGATTTGAAATATATCAGTGCATACACTTTTTGGTTTACCCAAAGAGTTAATGTTTCATTTTACACAGTGCCTGATAGTGAGGATGGGCCGTTTTGGTCAGGCACCTGCTTAAATGCCTCTGCCTTTTCTCTGTTCACATGCTTATAGTTGTTTTGGATTTATATCCAAGGTTCACAGGGGTTCAGTGTACATGAGTAGAAATCAGAGGTCAAACTTTAGGCATGAATCTCTATGATGGCTTTGCTCTTAGATGGATATCCATGCTAGTTATTCAATTTTAGGGACTTTTAGTTGAATTATTTTTCCTTTTAATCTTCTTTCATTGATGCTTAAGAAACAGGCTTTATTTTTGCTAAGTAGGAAGCACTTCTTACAAGGTTAACTGTGATTTCCTGATAATGTAATGGAAATACGCTAATAATGATACTGATTAGTAGTGTTTTCCTAATTTTGTTGACAAATTTTAAGATCCAGGATGTTTAATGCACTAATAAATATAAGCAGATCCTTGTCTGCAGTCTACTTCTAACTGTGCATTGTAAGTAGTGTATAAAACATTGAGGGCTGTTGGATGTAAACAGTGCTAAGGCTTATTCCTGGAAGTCACTGTTCAGCTTTGGATGGTTTAGTAGTAATGATGCATTAATTGACTTTTTACATGACAGAGTAATTGGATACTACATCTAAAAAAAAAATCTTGACAGCTTTGGTAGACAATGTTATTTAGTTTATCAAAACAAGGTTAGAATGAAATTATTTGAATGGTTTTGCTTAAAGGATAGGAAAAGGAGAAAGAGGTCATACATTAGAAGTGGCTCAGGTTTTTAATAATGGAATCATTTGTCATTTACATAGAAGCATTCTGTTTGTGTATTTATTAAGAAATGATCTTTAACATAGCATTAGGAGAGTTTTCATCTATACTATGACTTTACATTTCAGTTCCTCTTTGAAGACTTAGAAAAAAGGCTTTATAAAAATCTGACAAACTGGTGATTGATATGGAGAAGCATTTAGTATTTTCTGTTTGTTGATTTTTGTTACCATACAATGTGAGAAAATTTGGTAGTTAATAAAATTTAAAGGACAAATCTGCTAGCTATATCTATCCCTATCTGTCCTTAGGCATTTTCTCGCTATTAGTTTCTCCATATTTAATTGTTTATTCATTTTTTACTTAGCTGTTTAACTTTATTAAGTATTTCAAATTTTTATTTACTATCTTTTTAATGCAACGTGGTTCTGAATTTGTATCATTGTAGTAAAATCTTTGGTCTTAGTTTTCAAAATTGCATTTAAAACGAAGTTTGGGGGGGAAATTAATGTGAAACTGATTTCATATAGGCTGTAGAATGAGAAAAATAAACTTGGTGTACTTTTATTTAGTCATTACACAGACAGATGGACTAAAGCTTTATTGGCAGAAAAGAAGTCATGATTGTATTACATTCTAGAACCTGTGTCTGTTAGAAAGTCATTGATACGAAGTCCCATAATTGACTGTAGTGTACTCTTAAAATCACATTTCATGTTCTAAGATCTTAAAATTATATTTCATGTTCAGACCTTAAGGATACATTGAAATTTCACTCTAGTTAAAATTTGCTCATGAAATAGTCTATTCTGGCCAAAGACCACAAAAGAGATCTTGGTTGTGTGGTTTTCTTCTCCTTCCCCCTCACTAACAGAGGTTTTCCTAGCTTGGCAGCTGTTTCCTTCAAGGCCGTCATCAGTCCCTGATTTCTTCCTTCCCTTTATGCCCACAAACAAGGACTCTTTCAAATGAGGGGTGACTGAAGACAGACTGGTCTTGGATCGCTTTAAGAACCTGGAAATGTGTTCGAGAGTTGTGCTTGTGGGCAAGCAGCCTGTAGGCATTAGTACATTGGAATGAAAGTATTCATTACAACCAAAACTTGGTCAGAATTCTTTGCTTGAATCAGTAGCATTCCAAGGACTGTCTTAATTTTTCTGAGTGTAATGAATGCACCTTGTTCACACATTAAAATTATACTAATTGCTATATCAGATCACTTGAACAGTCTGTAGGATATAATAATTCATTGATTAGCTTTTTAGGTGCTGGGCCATGAAGTTATCTGACTTGTCTTTATGTGAAATAGCTTGCAGTTTTAAAGCAGGTATTTGCAGCTATAAAAGGCAGGCTTACCCATGTTTTTTGTTTTTTGAATAGTGGTTTCGATTGAAAAATGGGTGCTGTGAGTAAGTCAGTTTTGCAGAGGTGCTTGTCATGTGTCACAATCAGATTGATTTTTGATACATTGTCCTTACGTTTTTGACTTTCAGAAGAGCAAGTTAATGCTTTCCTTTGCTTTTGTTTTACTTCTTTGGGTACAAAAGCATCTGAAGTGTTCTGATAACTGGGTTAATGCCAGTTCTGACCCCCTCATCATAATATGTAAATGTCTGCAGCAATGTATACCTAAAATGCTATTGGTAACTTCAGTGAACTACTAGATCAGGCTGAATGTGGATCATGGCAGGAGGAGTAAAAGGGAAGTGTTTCATTTTTGATGGTATAGGAATGAAAAAATGAACTTAATACCAAAATGTCTTGGTAGTTCTATCTGTGATTTTGTGGACCTTTATATTTAAACACTAAATAATAGCTTCAGATTTTTTACATTCTTTTTGGTGTTTGTTGATAAAAGCAAGATAGTGACTTTGTAACTCGTTACATGTTCTAAGCCATTTAAAATCTGACCGCTTTTCCACTTAAGTTACATTAGAGTAAGCTGATAATAGAATGCAGTGAACTGCTAATAGAATTCCATGTGATACATGAAGCATGTCCCAATGCTGAGCAACTCAGATAATGTGGTATAGAGAACTGAATGTTATCTGGGAAAAATGTTTTCTATATTTCCTTTATGTTTTAGTGACAACATCTAAATTATGTAACCTCATTTTACTTGAGTTACAGGCAGAATATTGAAAAGGGCAGGGATATTCTTACTGCCTCACGTTATAAAACTCTTCCTATACAGCAGGGTAACAGTAACTTGAAAAAATTTGATCGTGTATTATTTAGAAAAATAAGTGTTAGAAGATTAATATGAAGAAACTGTTAAGATGTCCCTAGAAGGGAAAAGTTCGTAATTTCTTTAAGAGCCTAGCGTAGGATAGGGGGTATACTTGGGAATTGTCTGCATTTTATACGATTAAGGCTAATGTTTATTTTGCAATCGCTCCTACTACTATCAAAGAAATAAAACACTTCCAATGAACCAGTAAGTAGTCTTTGGTCTCATGCAATCATAGTAACTGAGAAATACTGATTATAAGTTACATCATAATTTTTTTTTTCTTTCCAGTTGAAGGATGGTATCTTTAAGGGCTCATCAGATTAGACTTGGCTACAGGTTTTATATTGTTATTGTCACTAGAAACAACATGTACATTCACAAAATTCTGTTAAAAGTATTATGTGCTAATGTCAGTACTTTGATAAAAAGACTAATATGTGGCATAAAGAGATAATTATTCCAGAATGTCTTTCTGTACTTTCCAAAGAGAAAAGTATTATTAGAAATTGATTTAGCTATTGTCAGTTCATATGCCCGGGTTATTCTTAAAGGTTTTGGGGCTTTCTTTTCAGAATGCAAAGTGTGGGTACCCAGTATATGGCAGCATCTTTCATATTGGACATAGAATCAACTATATACCACTTTTTATACTTTGGAGGGGGAGGAGCTGAGGAAAAGAGAGTTTTGTTGCTAGTTATGTGTTTTTTGTGGATCATAGAGATAGCAGGATCATAGAGAAAATGATGGATTTCTTTGTTTTTCAGATATGAGGATCAATGATGCAGACTGCTGGGTTCGATGAAGCTGGGCTTTTATAACTAGATTCATTAAGGAATACAAAGAAAATATTTAAAGAGATCAATAATGGTGTCTTCTGGTTGCAGAATGCGAAGTCTGTGGTTTATCATTATAATCAGCTTCTTATCGAATACAGAAGGTAAGATGCAGTTTAAATTTTATTTTTTTTAATTTAGAATTTAAATTATGCAGACTTATATAGAAGTGACTTGAATGATTATTATTTAAAAGATATTTTGAGTGTTGCATTCATTTGTTCTTAGAGGTTGAATTATTATCATTGCAAAGTTGCATTGTAGAAAATATAGAAGTTGGATTTACATTTTACATAAAATTATAAAATATAGTAATTGCAAGTAATCCAGAAAGAACTAAATGAAAGATTTGTTTTGATAGAAAATTACATTTATTGATTATATTTATTACAGTAAATTTCAGATTATTTTATGGCAATTCTTTTGCTTTATTTTTACTAGTTTTATTATTTTCTTAAATACATTCATAGTTCTAAAATTCCTAAACAAAATTGTTTTTTTATCTTTTCTGCAAGATGCTAACATTTTTGGTAGTTCTTCCTCCTTTAATGCTTTTTATTTTGAAGACTGACCTGACTTTCAAAGAACTAAATAGCTTTTGAGGTTTAATGAAATAACTGGAATCATCATTTCTTAATAAACATGGATTTCCTAGTATCCAGTACTTCTTTAGTCTTAAATAATATGTGGTAACAACATCCAGGTGACCTTTTACAGAGGTCAGAAGGTAATGTGGCACTAAGATGCATTAATTTTATGACTAATTAATTTCGAACTACCATTAGGTGACATTGGTAGTTACTGTATTTTGTGTGGAAGTATATCAATCTTGTAAATTTTGTGACAAAAGCATACTCTCTGAGAAAAATATGCACAATATAAGGTTTTATTTTTGTCCCAATTAAATACTTTTGAAGAAAATGAGAATTTTAAATTTGACTTTATATGTACTTTTAGTTGATTTCACTTATACCTATTAATAAAAGATAAGTAGAGAGTAAGAGGCATACTGCTAAATAATAGACAGAAACATATTATTCTAATGTCTTGGTAGTAAGTTTCAACATGTTAATATTTTAATTTTGACAAGAGATTTTTAATTGAATGGCTATTTCAAAACTGTATTTTATCATTTTTCCATAACCCTTCTTAACCCCTACATGTTCAATACTGATAAACTTAATACTATAAGCAACAAATTTAGAGAGATGTTAAGATAAGAATATGTACATTCAGAAAGTAAACAATAATTACTTGAAAAGTCTTACTTGAAAGTTGCAAATGGGTTACTTTCATTTTCAGAAGATATCATTCTGTGCAGTAGAATTGAAAGATATATCAGTTACACTTTCATTTTCAGAAGATACCACTGTATTAGAATTGAAAGATATATCAAATCTAGTAATGTAATAGTCTGAAAGAATAGTACTGTAATGATAAACAGTCAACAGAAACTGAGTTCAGTAATAAGACTTTCAGATTGCTAGGAAATCCTGTGTATAATTTATAATTTTGCATGTGGGTGTTTTGGAGGGAAAACTCACTGCATTCCTGCTGTCACGATAGAATATTTTTATACATTTAAAAAAGATTCCAGGTGTGGGCCAATAGCTCATTAGTCCACATAACGAAAAAATTTCCAATCAAAGTAGAGACTACTTTGCTGGCACTGTAGCTTCACTCAGCAGGGAACTTTTTTCATGAGATACTGCAGTTTTATTTCTAGTGTCACCTGTTAGGTCAGGATTCATATCTGCTGTTTAGAGAAATTTCATTTTTGGTGCATCAGGCCAGGGGGTGTTGCTTTTGAAGCAGTTCCCTCCTGTGGGTAAAAAGAACCTGGGATGAGCCCATACTGCTGGCTTTGATAGTATTCGTAGGTCTTGCAGACTCAGAACATTGATCCATAGCATAAGGTTTTGTCTTAGAAAAGTTTATCATGACATGTTAGCCCTTTTTTACCAGAAAGCAGATAATGCTGTATGAACACCCATAGAGAAAACAATCCTGAGTTCAGTATGAGAGCACAGGGAAGAAGATATAAATTTAACCATTCAGCCATTAAATTTCTTGGGGGCTTCCATGATTTTTATCTTTTGAATTTTCCAGGGATGAGCACTTTTGTGTATCATTTCCTGGATCCTTACAGATGAACTCTTAAGGTTTCCTAGATGATTTCCTCCCTATTTCCTCATTGAGTGACTAAATTGAGCAGGGCACCTATGATTAAAAGCTTCACAAGGCACAATTCTGCCCTTGAGGATCTCATGGTCTTTTGCAGAATTCCTGCTGGGTATAAAGTATCTACTGGGGCCAACCAGGCAAAGTAATTTGAGTGCTCGTGGCCTTTTGAATTCTGCAGCAGACAGGAAAGCACTTGGTCAGAGTGATTGTCATCAACGTTTAGCCTGGTTTTCCTAGTTTTCTAAATTTTCAATAGAAACCAGACATTATTTTCAAGTCATAGCAACTAAGATTTAAAACAAAATGACCCTGTGTGTATTATATTCAGCCCTGGATCATGCCTTCTTTTTCTCTTGTTTACAGGTAATGTTTTGCCTTAGTGTTCAAAGGCTCACCATAATTTTGGATTTATTTTATATCTATTCATAGGAGAGCTATATTTCTACATTTATTTGCAAGGGCTTTTATTTTCATTTTTAAAGATTTATTTACTTTTACATACAGAATGGGGTACAGGCCAGAGATGTGGGAGGTGGTGAGAGGGTTCAGCAGAGACAGAGTGGGGAGCAGAACAGGCAGATGTACAAATAAATAGACTGCTGAGGGGAGTAGTGGGCGGGTCAGGAGAGGTCTGCCACCATGTGGGTCACCCTCCTTGCTGGGGATCGAACTCATGCTGCAGTGGCTGCGATAGCTTCATAGTCCCATGTTTTAACCCATTGCGCCACCAGGGAGGGCCGATTTTTTCTATGTACAGAACTATAATATATAAGTATGGTTTGTGTGCATATTAAAGAGCAAGTCAGCAAGTATTTTTTTAAGTTTTACCATAGCAGAAGCTGATTTATACAAAGGTTCAGTTGTTAGAATTGGCTTATTTCTCTTCCTTTCTTTACTCCCTTACTAAGTTTTCCTTAGAATTGATTTTTATTCTAGAGAACTCACTTCAAACCCTACCAAAATCAGTTTGTTGAGAAATTGGTGTGCTTTGATTCTTTTAGCCAATTTTTATAAGCATAGTAACCCACTGTGGAATCATGTAACAGTAAGTAGGAAAGTAAATTGAATTTTTGTGTCCTAGAGATTTAAATTATGTTATATAATGGAGCCCTGGCAGCTAAAGTTAGGCCTATAAAGGCTTGCTAAAGTGACAAGCTACAAATAATAGCAGTCCTTCAGCAAATATGATAATACCCATTTCAGGTTGAATTTTTTAAGCAGTGAATATGTAATTAGATTTCATTAATCAAAATCTTGGTTAATTGCCTCAAATTACATTGTTGCTTCTTCTTATTTTATTATTTATTTATTTTTAAACTCTTTACTTACTTATGCATACAAAAACTAGGGTGTAAACCAGAGTTGTCTGTGGGGAACAGAACAGGCAGATCTACTGACAACGTGCTGAGGGGAGCAGCAGGTGAGACAAGAGAGGTCTGCTGTGTCTTGTGGGTCACCTCCCTGGATGGGGGGGATTGAACTTATACTGCAGTGGCTGCCAGTCGCTTCGTAGTGCTGAGACTTAACCACTTGCACTACCAGGGAGGCCCTATTTATCCTTATAAAGGAAAAATACTGTGACAGGTATAAATGCCAAATATGCCAGATAGCAACTACATATTATATATTCTTCCAAAAAATTTAAGAATGTACCTGTAGAAATAGTATCTTACCAGTTTTTAATGTACTTTTAAATATCTAAGCAGAAAGACTTGAGTTCATGATATCTAACTAGAATATGATGGTTGACTGCAAGGTATTTTAGCTAGTAGAATGAAAAAAGTTGACCTAGGAGTAAAACATGAATTAGAAAAAACATTTTGGCATATAAATGTTTCCTTCAGTATGGCCTATGATTTGGGTGGAAGAAATAGTCGCTTTATTGACTCTGAGGTTAAATTTAAGAAAGATTAAAATAATTTCTGAACTTTAAAAAAAAAAACTGAGCTTTTTCCTTTATTCTTTTCCTCTTAGTTTTTTATACACACAGATAACAAAATGTGTAAAATTTATATTTGCTTTCACCTAATGTCATTTTCACAGGGTAGTGATTTTTTTTTGTTTCAAAACTGTATCCAAATGCCTAAAAGGATAGCTTACTTACAGTAAGCACTCTGTATTAATCATGTGAAACAGCATAAATCTTTGTAGAGTGTTCAGCCATAGATTTAAAAGTGAGAGAGAGGATAAAAAGTCATAATAACAGGTAATTAATACCATCATGATTCTGTTCACAGAGACATCGGGGTGAAGGTTGTCTGAGTAGTTCAGTATTTGTCAGCAGGGCTTCCAAATGGAACTGATGATGATTGAGCTGACTCTTAGGATGCTGACTGCTAGGTAAAGATAGCAGTGAGCATGATGATGGAGAACAAAGATTAGTAGAGGACAGCATAGAAGTGGAAAAATTATTGCATTGTTCTTAAACATTAGGAGCAACAGAATCAGGTGGAAAGTTTGGTTGGGGCCCAGACAGATTCCAGGGATGGCACTGATACTACACAGTATCACACTTGGGAACCTCTGTAATGAATACAGTGCCTGCGGGTGATGGAGGTGAAGTATAGGCTGTAGGTGCCTGGATGTGGATATTACTTTTTTAAAAAGTTTTTTTTTAATTGTTTTGATTTTTTTTTTTTTGTGATACATAAGTAATAACCAGTTTTTTTGCTGGGAATTACTATCTATCCCGCTTCACGTGACTAGTCCTCTTTTAGGCTTCTTGGATATCAATTTAGACTTTGGGGAAGGATTTTTAAAACTTGTTATGACAGTATACTGAAAAGGAAATAAAGTATTGTCTGCAGATTAGAAAAAAAAAACATATTTTCTCTTAAGGGTAGATGTTACATCTTTAGCACCCCTAAACCCTTGCTTCAGTTTCTCTTTTCATTGTGATAACTTTGTTCTTTTTCTTGTT